TTAGAACAATTTACTTGTTTAGCATTATCCGTGTTTCCGTTTTACGCAAGTGATCGCTTCCTATAAATTACCCCAGAGAGCTGAGAGACGACTCCTCAACACGAGACAAACGAGGAATAAAAACCATGCATGTGCACGGATTCCGTACTGCTTTCATAAGTGATCTTGTCCTCGGAAGTAAGATTTTGTTGTTGTATGAATCCGTATTGCCTTGCTATGACGTATGGATCACGTGGGCATTCGAAAGAAAAATAGAAGCATGGAGCGGTGTACGTTAGGAATTGGATGCACGGAAATGGGAGAGTATATGCAACCTGGAGACTTCACAGTCTCACTGTCGAGCTGGGGCAGGACACATCGCCTGGCAGGACGATGGCCAATTGCAAAGAATCATGGTGGAGTTGCCACCAAGCGAGGGAACGCACCTGAATGTTCGTACCCGGAGGAGATGGAGCAACGCTATCCGCTCGTGTGCGGGCGCTGGGTGGATTGTTACACCGATTCATGGCGAGATGCTAACTCACCAGGCTCCTGTGCGTATTCAATTATCTATAACGTGAACTCACGTCGCCATTTCTTACTCCACCTATGCTTCGCTGATGCTGTCAAGTTTGTAGAATCCTTCATAACTAATGCTGTGCCATTCAGTGTCTTCTCTAATGAACTTATTTGGAAAACATTTCCTACAAAATGTCACAAACTCTGTGTGAATCATGCTTAGAGCAGCAGTGTGGTTGTTTTTGTCAATTATCTTTAATTGAACAGGCACAAACTTCTGTTATTAGACAGAAAAAGCTTCCGATTCACAGGCCTGCCTTAACACACTGACTCATTTTACCATTATTTTCTCGATGTCTGACACATTCTAAATTACTTGTAAAGTTTTGTATTTCCAGAGTAATCAGACTCCCGTTGTCAGTATTTTTTTCCCATGAACTAAACACTGGACATTCTTAAGTTCTGTATTATATGACTAATTTACTTTTGTCAAACCTCTCAAATCTAAGGAAAAATTGCACTATGAGCATGTTGTACTTTCGCACGACTGGTGGTTTGATAGGCCTGAACTCTGAAACATTTGTAAATATTTAATATTCATATTGGCGGAGCAGTGGCGCAGTGGTTAGCAAACTCTGCTATGAACAAGACAACCTGAGTTCAATTACCAACCATGGCCTAATGGGCTAATGTCTTTGTTGTGATAACGTTGTTGTTGTTGTTTGTGCTTTTTGTTTTGGTGCCATTTCTTCATTTGTTTATTATTTTCTTTGCTTGAGAAGAGTAGCAGAGTTTTCATTTGTGGCTGTGTATGGGATTTCGTCGTCCTATATATATTTAATGTACAGCGTTATGGGATGCTATTGGCATGAATGATGCTATATAAAATTAAAGTATTCTTATTATTATGGCAAAGATCAGTGGCGAGTGATATTAGAACTGGTCCTGGGCCTCCACCCTCACCAACTCTCACTGACCAGCACGGTGAAGTATGGTCAAACAGCCCCCGTGACAGAACGGCTCGGTGAAGCCTTCACAGAGCAAGGTTTTGATAAAGGCCCGTACAGTTCGGTGTTATCATTATCATCACCTGTACAGTGTTATCATTATTAATAATATTGTTGAATAACTTCGTGATATGTATGCCATATATGGCCCTCTGTAGAATTTCCAGACTGCGAGGGATGCAGACGGCTTCGGGAAGCCTTCATCTAGCAGCGGATAGCTAATGGCTGATGATAATTAGACACTGTAGCAACGCTGGTTTTAGAGAACATGAAACATCAAGTTATGGAGGATGAGTGGAGGGGCGGGGATTGATTAACTGATGCATGCGGGCTGATTCACTGATGTGAAGTAACTTATATTCCACTGTAATATATATTTTGTATAGCTGGAACAAATTCCCTGCAATTACAGAGCCCTTGACTGGTTCACTTTGAAGGCTCACAAACCTCAAGACAAGCGGGAAAAGCAGCCACGCTGTGAGCCGGCACCAAATCCCCCTCCCCTCCCACCTCTGCAGTAGTCTCTGCAGTGAAGACCATGGGCAATGAGCGTTTACATCATTGGTCATGGTCTGTCCACTGCTGGATGAAGGCTGCCTCAAGCCCATCGTCGCCGTGTCTCATGGCCTCTCGATGTAACCATCCATGGAGCACACGGAGCCAAATGCTGCCTCCATCTCGGGCGAGTTCGCCCCTTTGGCTGCGACTCCGTTGTTAGTCTCGACCGCCGGCCGTCATCGCTTCGAGGGACACGTCCTGCCCAATGCGATGACCTCAACTTGTGAACCTTCTCTAATCCGTGTGCTCCTCTTCTCCTAAACTGCCTGCATGCGCTGACTTGCAAGTGAGCCAATAACATTGAACATTTGTCGCCTCCACTATAACTGAAGCCACGGTCCACGACTGCATTAGGGAGCCACTGGAGGAGCTATCCACTTTTAAATCTATATTGAAAAAATATTTCTTTTGAACTGATTTTTGTGTTTCGTTTTATGTCCGTTCCAGCACCTGGTTGGCACCGTACGGTGATAACTAGGTTCAACATACATACCTACGTACATACAAAAATAACATTCTGGCGGCATTCGATCGATTCGCGTTGGTCTCCATCATAATCTTCCTGCTGAATGTCACGCACAAATTTTCATTCCCCTGTCCACAAAGGTCCCCGTGAGCATGGCATCATAATGCCGAGAGCTCCAAAATGCAAAACAAACACTTCACAAAGGCTGCTGTGACCACAAACGGGTTAAAACTTTCAATCAAGCAGCTGTCTGTTGGCCACGGGTACTTAATTAGTGTGTCACTGAATGCCTCTCTTTATCCACATCATTACGGCGCATTTCAGGCCACACACAAAAAGACCCCCAACTTGCAGCCACATAATTACGCTCCATTAAGTGATGATGTTAAGGAGAGGTTACTTAGGATGAGGAACGCAAACAGCCTAAATGCATGCTGCTACCCAAGTGAACTTCAGTTGTGAATGTGATCAGCTGGTATTGTCTGCGAAATTGCACGGCGACAGTTCTGAATGACTTCCAGCTGCTTGCATCGTAACAGGCGATGTCTCTGCTTCTGAAAAATATGAAGTGTCTGTGTAAATGTGATGTGGCGGAACGATTTTCCTTTTTAACATTATTTGTTATTATCATTTTTTGGTGGGGGGGGTGGCTTTTGCTTGATTATGCTGTGACAAATGCCAAAATCGTTTTTTTTTATTGCACTGCATAGCTTTGATTCAGTATGCTGGTGCTCGTTGTCGTTGTTTTTTTAATGAAATAGTTATGGTAATGATACAACTCGTGCATTCAAATTGCACATGAAATACAAACATTCGTCTATCCTATGTTGTAAAACTTCCCGACATCAGCACTTAACTAAAGCGATAGACACATGGCATGTTGAAACAGTTCATTTTTACTAAGTAATTCCTATGAAAATCAAATAAGTGCTGCACAAGATATATGTGATATGAGAACATTGTGAATGTATTGGTAGTGGTGGGATAAGTATTGCATAAAATATCCCAAGGAAGGCATTCGGAACGTATCATTATTTATAATCATATATGACGAATGTCAGACGTATCTGATATAACACGATTTTAGTTCCTGGGTAGTAAGTGTAATTTTCTAATTTCTTATGCCTCAAAAGTATAGAAAATGGCTATTATTCCCCACAAACTTTGCTTTTGTGACCAGGACTTTATGTGAAGTAATGACACAAATGCACACCACGTTTTCTCATTAAAAATAGGTACATTTCAAAATATCACTGTCCTGCTCACAAAAGCAAAATTTGTGGAGAATAATAGCCACTTTCTGTACTTTTGAGGCATAAGCAATTATGAAACAACACTTACTACCCAGGAACAAAAAATATATTTTTTGTTACACAGTGAATTATTATCACGTTTAAAATATAAGACTGTGGAGAAGCCGCACGTCAGTTTAATATTTAATAACGAGTGGATCCTTAATTAATGCTTCTGTAAGACTGGTTGAAGGGTCCTTTACAGGTCAATTGGTCATCTGAAGAGAACATTTTATTATTTATGTGATGTCTATTAAGTGTCTTGAGGACGATAGCAAAATTATTATTTGTTTAAATGCCTTTTTACGCAAAACATTTTTCCTAGTCCTAATTGTTTAAGTTATTTGGGAAACAATGTCATGATTTCACCTTTGTATTAAATTTAACTGCAGAAATGTAGAATTGTAACGTGTCCTAGACAACATTCAACTATATTACATGCAGAAATATGAGCTGAAAGCTAGAATTTGCAATAAGATATTTCACAGTGACGGAAATGCCTTTAACATACCCATCAGATATATGGCAGGATTAAAGTGAGCCATTAAGGAAATTACTATTGCAAAGTGTTCTTTCTAAATGTTCAACTAAATCACGCACGTAATTTTATTATGTTAACGTCATATGTTAAAATGACATAATTAATTGATACTGTTTTTTTACAAGTTAATTTATTTCAATTTCAACTTGTGCATTGCAATCTTGGCAAATACAATCTATTGCATTCTGGAGAAACAGTCGTGTACAGGAATTTTAAAAAATATATATTGCGTTTAATATGATGCAAGGTTGAAGTAAAGACGCAGCCTCGCATTTGCTCTCTCCTGCCAATGCTAAGGAGGAGGCCTCCACTGGAGGGAGCTCTCGAGAGCCTCTCCAGATGGTATCCCCACTCTCCCACACTGGCCAGAGAGGTTGGAGTACCCACACTTTACCCCACCACACGCGACTGAATACTGTTGGGTGGACAGAGATGGGGGGGGGGGTGGAATTTAAGAAACTTGCACCGCTCTTTCAGCTGCCGTGCCAGGACATTCAAGCGGCGACCTTGGTCTGTCATTGCAGTGTGCCACCCGTCACCCCACGGCAGCGTCGATATCGTGGGACAAGCCCCCTCGTTTCAAACACACAACTTCCAGTGCTTGCGCTGTTCTTGTCTCCCCCGACGTCTCACGCCAGTTCAACCGCTGCATCACGTCGCAGCTCATCAAGTGGTTCAGCAACTTTCGCGAGTTCTACTACATCCAGATGGAGAAGTTCGCACGGGCAGCCCTGGCGGACGGGGTGACCAGCGCCGAGGAGCTCACGGTCACACGCGACTCGGAGCTGTTCCGCGCCCTCAACGTGCACTACAACAAGGCCAACGACTTCCAGGTCAGATCCTGCTTTCCTATGAGATCAATACATATATGTACGCTACAGTGTACACACGAGCAAAACTCTCTTCTGTCGCAACATACGCGTACACATTTTGTTTCAGTCCACTGGCCTCTCGGCTTTCCCGGCCAACATTACCCAGCAGGATTTGTTTAAACAAACACACTTGACCGGTTTAGACCCTCTGTGTCTCATCAGTAGAGTAAAACAGTCTGTGTGATTGACAGCCGGAAAGCGTCATCAGTTGCAAAGTTGCAATTTATTTTAAGTACGTAATCTCTCTTTGTTCTGGAAGCAAAGCGAACAAATCAGAAGAAACAATTTACAAGCCTACGGGGGGGAGACTGGAGTCGCGACCATCACTATGTCGTGAATCTAAAATCATGACATTACGTCACGTCAACCCTACTCTTATATAGCAATACAAACATCGCTATGGCGAGGATGTTTTGACGAAGCTGCAAGCTGCCTCGTTCATTTTTATTTGATTGCACCGCCTGCTACTTTTTGCTGGCCATGCCACCTTCAGTCCTTGGACGGCAAACATCTGATGGAGCGATTCCCTTTAATGATAAAACGCGCAACAAGCAACTTGCGCGTGGCTCGGCTGAAAAAGCTGCCACTGCCCGCTGCGTCACCTCGTGGCTCCAGAATGCACGCGGCGGCCTCTTCAACGAAGACAGAAGCAGCCCTCTTTTAACACGACTGCAACTGCAAGCAACGCTCCGCGCACTTACATTAGCGCTGCTTACAACTTTAGTGGAAATGAGGCTAAGAGAGGTAAGTAAGATGGCACTGCATTAAAATAACAGTGAATTTTCAGAATGAAAGACACCTCTGGCTGAAAACAATTGAAGCAATCTCCATGGAAAGGAAAATCACTACACATTTAATTACAGTAACCATACAAATAATGTGAGCATTAATAATAAAATTGAACTGAACTGCTAATCAATGCAAGTCTCAAATGTTCTCTCTCTCATGATAACCCTGCATGACCCTAACTTATAATCAGTGATTTTCCTAATGGACATTATTTTACAGTGATAGAGATGTCACTGCTGTTGCTGTGAGATATACTTGATGTATATCTCTTGGAGTATAAGCGTAGGTGGGCAGTGTTGTGTGCTGCAGAGATACATTTCCATGAAATACTCTAATTACCTCGCTATATTTCAAGCGCTCATTTAAACGTTCCTTGTCATGTTTAAACGTCTCTCCAACAATTGTTGAAACTCAGGATGTAATTCTCTTTCAATGCAGTAGCTCCAAAGGTAGCGTTTGTACTTGCCCTTCTTTAAAGCGTCGATCAACCTCCTGTTCCTACGATCGTCAAACCGCACGCTATGGTCTCCACCAGCTACGAGACCAGCCAATGCAGAACTCCACATTCCCAAGAGCTTCTCAAAATCTTTCAGCGCGGGCAAACAATTGGGACAATGTGTATATAATGCTGCAGTGACGGGGTTAAACATTTACATCCAGCAAGTACAAAGCATGACCAGCGTTCCATATTCCCGGAAGATGCCTTCGCAAGCTTTGTGCTCTTGCCAGCGTTTGCGCAGCTAGACGCAGTGTTCTATTTACGCACTCAATTCATTAATTAGTATCTACAACAATATCGACAGTTCATAAAACGCACACTGCTCAAAATTGTTACCATGTCCTGTCCTTGAAGATGGCTAAATAAATAATGGTACTTATTTTTTTTTAATATGCATTTCGTTACTTTTTGTGTGTGTATGATTTTAAATGCGATGTCATTTCATTGCAACCGTGTTGACTCAAAGTAGAATAATTTAGTGGATAGGTGCCACACTTTAGAAACTACAAAGTAGAGCATGGGCGTTTTCTATTAAATGTGAAATTGGAATACAATGTTTACCAGGCATCCTGGGTTTATTTTACCTTTTGTGCAAGACAGAGTAAAAATATATTTTTTTACTGGCAAGGTCATTGGCTACAGGCTCATGGATACAGAATACCTTATGAGAATACTTTACCAACAGTTAACAGTATCATCATTTATCTCAGGTGACCACATAGTCCAACATGTCTTAATGTCACAGGTGACTTAAATTGTGAGGGTTTTTTAAAAGTGAGTGATCACCATATCACCAGCCATGATCCCTGAGGACCTATTAATGTTGGAAGAGAACATACAGGGTGGTCACGTGGCCAGCACCACACATGACCACATTTGTCTCCCTAGTCCTGATGGCATACCGTATCAGATACTATTTCTTTGGCTGATCAAACCTAGCGGGGACCAAGGCCAAATTCATTTCTACATTTCCTGCGACTGATACTGTGCATGCCTAGGAATTAAATCTTATTACACTAGGATCATACCACAGCGAAAGCAAATACCAAAACCACCGCCGCTCCCAACACCGAATATAAACCCACACACACACGACACAAATACAAAGATCCCCCGTATAGCCTTAACAAACTGTTGGGGTAAGTGCTGTTAGCGAGCACCTATGAAGGCTGGTACGGCACACGAGGGGGTGGGAGGCCAGCACAAAGCCTGGCCGCCTTTGTCTCCCCAGTGGCGATGTTTAGACATCACACCAGGTACTCATTTGAGGCTGAGTTTACCTAAGGGAGGCCCAGAACCGGTTCACACACAATCGTTACTGTTGTTGGCCGTGACAGGGAATCACACTGTGGTGACCGGGTTCGTAGTGCAGTGCACGAATCACCGGGCCATTGCACCACACGCACACACACGCACACACACACAATCTCTCATTGTGGGTTATCTCTGAAGTTAGAGTGACAACTAAAGAGCACTTTAGAAGGTGCATTTTATTATACAAAAATCTTTGAAAAATTGGTTGAATGTAGCTTTCATCCTCTTTATCAAAGGCTTGTTTAATATTCGGCAGGTGGGTGCAGGACATGTTATCGGCGACGTTGGCTTGTTCATAAACCTGTCCAGGTGTTCGGTTATCAGGAGCTATTGACACATTTTGTTCTATCACAGAGCTCACTTTACACGCCTCTCTCAAATAATCTGCCATCTTTTATCTTCACGTTCTGTTGTTGTTGTTATTATCTTCACGTTCTGTTATTATTATTATCAAGTGCCTGCCTTACGCAGCCTCTTACCGGTTAACTGGTCTCTTCGTTTGCAATTGTAAAGAAAAACAACCTCGTGCCGATATTTTCGTTGTCAATCCATGCCGTGTAACCTTCTGGCAAATGTGGCCCCATATGTATTTGTTACTTAAACCCCTTGGTGATATCCAAGACCTGTGAATATGCCTTTGTATGTTCCATCCATGGATCCTCATTGAAATTCACCGATAGAGAAAAGCTACTATTTTAACATTTTGAAATGTCATCAAAATTATTATTATCATAAGCCACGATATATTAACTACTGGATGAAGGCTTCCCGAAGCCACCACCATCTCTTCACATTCTCACGATGCAACAATCCATCGAGCGCCTGCGAATGAGCCAATACCATCACTTCATCTCCGTGTTGGATGACATTTCTGGGCGTGTTCCATCCTTTGGATGCCTGCCACTCCTTCATTAGTCTTGACCACATTTTGCAATGAATCATGAATCAATACATGTAGTGAAAGTTCCAATTCGATGTCAGTTTAACCGGGGGAAATCCTGATTTTTATTCTGCCGGTTTATTTGTTTTTATGAACAATATCTCAAAAGTGCTTATTGTGTGACTATTTGTTTGAAGTAGTTGAAAAAAAAATGATTTGGTGTATTGAACATCACAACGCAACAATCTACTCTTGGCTATGCTGATACAGGATCCATAATGACTACTTTGGAACACACAACGATGCTCGCCAATTCCGGCAAAGGTTGCGAGCAGATTTCAACAGTCCGTGTCCACGGTGGCCATTCTCTGAGTCGTGAAGAAGCTGGCACTCCACGCTCTTTGGTTCTATTGGGTAAAGTCACGAAGGTAAAAAACAAAATCTAAAAGAAAAGCCTTTTTTGTGGAAAATAGTAAAATAAAAAAACCAAGACTTCACCTTGGAAAATAACAAAATCTAATCTAAAACATCTTGAATAAAGCTTATTTGTAATCTTCTTTGTAGGCAGAAAATAGTAAGGTGAATATAGAGTGCTCTCTTTGCTCTGAAGTAACATATACGACGTGTAAAAAAAAAAAACTTGCAATGAAAACAATTAAAAATAATACCATGTCTTCGTCTTGGAAAAGAACAATTAAAAATAACACCTACGTGACTTTACCCAATAGAACCAAAGAGTATGGATCCTAGCAGTCACGAAAGCTTTAAATCTAGAATTGGCACTCCACGGTCTTGCTCATCTCCTGGTTGTCATCCATTCTGGTGACGGGTCCTGCCAATGCCCACTTACTTTCTGAACAGTGAAAATTAGATTCCTAACTTGCTCATGTGGCTGTTGAAAATGGATCATGGAATAATACATACACGCATACTGCACACACACATATATATATACACAAAGACAACGACAAATTTCGCCCGAATAGCCTTCGCAGACTGTTTGGGCAAGTGCTGTTAGCGAGCACCTATGAAGGCCGGCACGGCACACGAGGGGGTGGGTGGCCAGCACCACGCCCGGCCGCCTTTGTTTCCCCAATGGCGATGTTTACACACCGCACTGGGAACTCATTTCAGGCTGAGTCGACCTAGGGGAGGCCATGAGCGGGAATCGAACTCGTGCTGTGCAACGTGCTAACCGCTACACTACCACTCCTACCACATACACACACACTGCATGGTTCAGTCGAGTGCACACTGACACATCGACTACTCCAGCCGCCAAAGCCTAAACATTGCGTACCGTATGCACTTCAGATTGGAAAGTTCATTACCCCCCAAATGCTTGCATGGAATGTTTGAAATGCCAAACCTGCATGAATATTTTTTTCATAATCAACTTTATGATTCAAAGAAACGCAGAGGACTAACAGTGCAGGCATGATCAAAACAATATTCTCGCCTACAAAGGCACTACCTTCA